ATTACTTGAAGAAAGTTTTAAAAAGAGAGAGAGAGAGAAAGGGAGTGATGTAAAGAAAAGGACTGGTCTCTTAGAGTCGTCAAGGAAAGCTTCTTCAAATGGTAACATTCAAGCTGAGAGCTGAATGATAAGAGCTGGCCCTGTGTGAAGACAGAGAGAAGCATTCCAGACAGAGGGAATAGCTAGTGCAAATGCCCTGAGGTGAGAATGAGCTTGAAGGTGTTTAAGGAACAAGCAGGCAAATATGGCTGGGTCTAGGAAGCAAAGGAGAGAGCAGGAAGTGAGAGTGGAGAGCGGAGAATCTGGAGTCAGGAATTTGGATTGTATATATACTGCCAAGGGAAACTATTGGAAGATTTTAGATTTTTTTAAAGGTAAGTTGAGAGGCTGCCTGGAGCATGGATTGTAGAGGGGCAAGAGCGGAAGCAGAGAGACCCATTAGGAAACTGCCACAGTTGTCCAGGCAAGAGTTACTAATGGTCTGGACTTAGGGAATGGTAAAAATAAGATCAAATATTTGTTGAGCACTTACATGACAAGTGCAGTCTGAGCACCTCACATATATTAAACCCTCGCATATGATATAAACCCTGGCTCTGCCACTTACTAGCAAGTTAGCCTTAAGGGCCTCTATCTCCTCATTTATAAAATGGGGATAATAACAGGACCTACCCTATAGAGTGGCTGTGAGGATTATTAGGTGTACAACTATGTAACATGATCCTACAAAGTCTGGTACATAGTAAGTGTTCAACAAATGGTAGCTGCCATTATTGTTAATTCTGCATAAATTTTCTAAGCTTTTTATTCTCATTCCCTCAACCACAGGAAAATGTAATCAGAGACACAAATTCCCTCTCCCACTGTCTCCAGCTCCAGTGTGCTAGACTTCTGATGTGTTTCCCCAGAAAACTCATGTGCTAGTTCTTCTGAAGTGGGGGACAGGGTCCCCATTATCCTTGAGTATGCTGACACCCACCTCTCCACAGACTCATGTGTTTGACTTGTCCATCAACAAGTATGAGGCCATCTGCAACCAGCCTGTGGTGGCCAAAAAGAAGAATAAGATCACCCACGTGCAGTTCAATCCCATCCACCCTATCATCATTGTGGGTGATGACCGTGGGCACGTCACTTGCCTCAAGCTCTCACCCAACTTGCGCAAGATGCCAAAGGTACAGGCTTGGGTAGTATGGGCTACTGTAAGAAATAAAGTTTCCAAGATGGTGGGGGTTGAGAAAAAGGGGAGGAGCCAGGAGGTGACACCCCCCCCCCCCCCCCCCCCCCGTTTCTGGCTTGGGAAATGCAGGGTAAGGGTGGTGTCATTGCCCAAATAAGGAGCACAAAAGAGGTAGGTTTGTGGAGAGACAATGAGATCAGTTTTGAAATGCTGAATCTAAGTTACCTGGGGGGCTCCCACGTAGAGACATCCAGTAAGCAGGTGACTATCTGGGTCCAAAGCCTGGGGAAGCACGTGGACATCATCAGCTTATTTGGTGTAGACCAGGTTATCCAGGCAGGGGGCTTGGAGCTTAGTCACTTAGTCATTGGCTGGGCTTAAAGGGCCTCAGCTCCAGTGGTCCCTGAGCTGGGAGCTGCGGGTCCACACAGGGAAAAAGGTAAAAAGGAAAAGAGGGTAACTAGGTCAGCAGCTAGGCAGTCCTCCTTTTGAGTTCTGGTTCCTTTCTGAGATCTGTACTGATCTGGAGATGGTGCCCAGAGCCCAAAGGCCCTAAAAACAGGCCATGAAACCTAGAGCCAGGACCTCAAAGTCTAGATCTCAGAGTCCTGATTCAGATGTAAGAGTCCAGGCCTTAGAATCCAGAGCCCAATAACCCAGAGCCCAGTCCTGCCCATTTGGGTGCTAAGAGAGGATACGGAATTTGTTTTCTGCCGGGTTCTAGGCCAGGATCAGAGCTGGGCCAGGGCTGGACCAAGTTGTCCTGATGACTACACCTCTTGGTTGCAATATGGGGCATTTATTTGCAGTTTGAGGCAAGGGCAGGCCTCTTTCAACTACCGATACCTGCCTCCTTGCACCCTTACCAAGGCAGGGGCTACCGCAATGTACCTCTGGTACCTGCCTCATCTATTCCCCACAATGACCAGAAGGCAAGGACTGGGAGTTTGGACGGGCCTGTAATTGTAGCCAGCTGGGGGAGGGGGTGGACTTGGCTATAAATACTCAGAAGGCTGCTAAGCGCCTGCAGCTGTGGCCTAGAGGCTGTGGTGGGCTGGGAATGGGGTGGGGTGGGATGGGATGGAGGAGTTGGGCATGGTCTGAAGCTCTTTGCTGAGCCCAGCTAGTTGGCCTCAAGGAGGAGGGAAGGAACAGATAAAATCTGATCTTAATTTAGTGAGGAGAGAGACTGAAGATTGAGCTGGCAGAGCTGGACAGCCCAGTGAGAGATAAGGGTACAACCATCACACCATGAAGATGGTAGATCTGAGGGTGGGGAGGGCTGCCCTGCCCACTCTGACCCAGGGAGGCAAGGATCTCCCATAGTCCCAACTCCTCTCAGAGCAAGGGTCAGTCATAGCTAAGGGAGCTGGGCTCTGTATATCCGGCGACCTATATCTCTGAAGACCTGAGGAAATAGATGCCCGGGGAACAGAGGACCTGAGCAGGTGACACAGCTGAGGGCTAGTACTTCAGTGGATTAGAGGTTCCTGTGAAACCGTCATCTGATCCTATCAGTAGTCAAGTGATTTGTGCAAAAGGAAGTCTTCTGGGCATCCCTACCCCGCCCCCGCCCCTCTTCGGGCTTTAGTCTCCCTGCCCTTCTCAGGAGGGCTTGGCCACAGAGGCCCAACTTCCTGACCCGTGAAGCTTCCCCTAATTGGTGTCAGAGCACAACTTGTCAGAGGTCAAAGACTATCTTTCCCTAACTACCATATAGATGGGAAACAGAAGCCCAGAAAGGCAAGGGACTTGCCCAAAGTCATATAGGGAATTAATGACAAAGCTGAAACTAAAAGCCACGTCCTGAAATTCCTAGGGGATGGGGTGAAGCCAAGAAGACAGCACTAACTTGATTTGGGAGGGAGAGTAGTTAGAGAAAAAGACATCTTTATCCTCTGCCTAGAAAGTGTAGAGGTGAACTGGGCAGTGGCAAAGGCACTGGGCCACAAGGGGAGAGGGAGACAGATTTCGGAGCAGGTGCAGCAATCACACCAAGAGGAAATCTAAGATCTGCGTGGTGTCAGCGGCCCGGATGGGGCCAGGAAGGGGCTTGCTGGCCATGTACTCTCTCCCCTCCTCACAGCCCAGGCCAAACCTAGGCTGGGCCCTCAGCAGGCAAGGCTGGAGCAGGTGCCAATGAGCAGTGGGCACAGGTGGCTGAGAAGGCAGGGGAGGGGGCTCAGGAACAGAGGGAAGGCAGGAAATGGCAGCTGCCCCAGCCTAGCCCATATCCTGCTGCCTGAACAGAAGGGAGTATGGAACTAGTGCTGGTCTGCCATAGAGCTCTTGGGGCCTGTGAGTTACACATACCCCAGTGTCCCAATTCTCTTTTTCTCAGGGCAGTAGAGTGCCCTGTGGACCGGGGTGAGGGGTCATAAATTTAGGATCTGCTCTTCTGAGGAACAGTCGCACCTAATGACATCTGGAATCACATGGGATATCTCATTTGCCCTCCTGGGTCTCTTGACAACCTCCTCCACCCTGGGTATGTCTGATACAGCAGACCTGGCCCCAAATGTCACTCCGCTCCAAACCTGATCTGAAAGTTTTGGTACTAGGTGAGGGCACCTGTGGCTTTGTCCACACCTCTCTCCCTCAGCAAACACCCATCTTTTAGTTCCTTGTTAGGACTCAGCCAGGGACACTCCTGTGGAAGGGTGGTCCCAACAGTCAGAGCCCTCACCTCTCTCCAGAGCTACAGCCCTCCCTAGCCTGAATGGCTAGTTCCTGTGAGGGTCAGTGGGTGGAAACCTTCTCCCAGCATCAAGACCCTTTGTTGATCTTAGATTCAGAGCCACACCTAGATTCTTGAGGGCCCCAGCTGAGCCCATGTCTCCTAACCTGAGTTGGGGAAGGACCCTGTGGGGGTGGGGAGAGGTGGGGATCCAGTATCTAACTGGGTGGAAAAGTGGTGGGACAAAGCTGGGGCAGGCTGGGCAGAGGCAGAGGTGGGACCCAGAGAAAGGTGGCCCACCCCTCACCATTCCTCCCCCACATGTACTCCCCCCACTCCAGGAAAAGAAGGGGCAGGAGGTACAGAAGGGTCCAGCTGTGGAGATCGCAAAATTGGATAAACTGCTGAACCTGGTGAGGGAAGTGAAAACAAAGACCTGAGGGCCTGGTCTCAGTCCCTGTCCCATTTCTTGAACCCAGTACTTGTAACCCCTGACCCTGGTACCTAAGCCCAGCCTTAGCACCAAGTATGTGACCCAACCCCTGATCAGGTCCCAGTATCTACCCTTAGCATCTCCTTCAGCCCTGGTCCCAGCACCTCACCCCAGGACTCAGCCCTCAACCATTATTGCATCCTACTCTACACAAATAAACCTGTGTCTGGAAACTCACCCCACACCTTTAATTTTTCTACCACAGAGTCCCCAGGAAGAGGAGGGAATCTCAGGTTAGAGCCATAGTTCCATTTATTATCCAGCAAACAGTGGGAGGACCCAAGGAGGGGCCCAGCCTGGACACCCTCCCATTATTGCCATGGATTCCAGTTTGCTTCCCCAACGTCAAGGGCCTGGAGGCGATTGGCCTAGGGAGAGGTGGACCCAACCCGTGGCCCTCAGTATGGAGCAGAGTCGAGGTGGCCCTGGCCCTAGCACCAACTCATTGATCCCCACCCCAGGCCTGTCTACCTAGGGCCACCAGAGCCCCTCTTGGAGCGAGGCTGGCTAGACTCTGGGCTGCTAGGTCCAGCTCCAGACAGGCTGGATTCTGGGTTCTGGACCCCAGGCTGGCTAGACCCTGGGATCCTGATTCCAGGCTCTGGGTGGGGTAGACTTAGGTCCCAGACTCCAGGCTAGGTGAGGGGCCTTCAGGGCTGCAGCAGGTAGCTGCCTTCATGGCTGGGCTTCTGGGGTGGGGGTGCCTTCTCAGGACACGGGCCAGGGCTGGAGTTGGGACTGGATTCAGAGAGGGAGTCGATGTCCGCAGAGCGGGAATGGCAAGCCCAGCAGAGAATGACCCAGAGCAGCAGCAGCAAGAAGCCTACAAGGCCGTTGCAGACGATGGCAATGAGGGCCCCCTGAGAGATGGCTGCCCCCATGACAGGCAGCACCCTCAGACCAGCACAGACCACGGGGCTGGCTCGATGGCAAGGCCCATGCCGAGGCAGGACTCCAGTACAGCTGGCCTTCCAAAGAGGCTGTTCTGTCCACACACTCAATGATTCCTGGGCAATGGAGATGTCCACCTGCAGTCTTGAGCCTGTGGCAGGTACACAGCAGAGGAAAGGGTGGTGAGGAAGGGGTAGGCTGAGGCCTAGGAGGAGAGGCCTAAGAGAATCCTGTCCCACATCTCTGGCTTCCCTGGCAGAAGACTTTGGGTCCTGGCAGGCCCAAATAACCCACAGAGCCAACACCCCCATCCTGAGGCTTGGCCCTGGGCACCTGGATGGGGGTGTAGCCACAGTGGGGAAGCTAGAGTAGACAGCCTATATCTCATTCTCCTTAGAACCAATGGGCATGGCCTGGCCCTGCCCACCAAGCTTCCAGCCCTCAAAAGTGCTGTGAGAATGGATGAGATGAGGAAGCCCAAGGCCTTGAAGGATGGGGATTGTGACTAGTGTTGGTGTGGCCTGGGCGCCTCCCCCTTCTCAGGACTCCAGCCAGCCAGCCAGCCAGCCCAGGAGACCTCCAGAGGTGCCAGCTCAGACAGAGGGAACTTTGTGGAGGCCCTGGCAGGCATGTGTGGGTCTGTGTATCCAAGGCTGTATACTGGGGTGTGCCTCTCTGTGGGACTGTCTCTCCAGGTCAGTTGTGTATGTCTGTGTCTGGCTCTTAATCTGTCTTTAGGTTCCCTTGCCTAGATGTGTGCCTCTGCCTCTGTATACCCACCTCTATGTTTGTGCAGCTATGTGGCTCTCTTTATATTTGTCTCTGTCTCCATCTCTGAGTGTCTGAGTGTCTCTTTTCTCGCCCAGGCTATCTCTGTGTATCTCTGTATCCGTCTCTGTGTGTATGGGTCTCGTGTCTCTCGGTCTTTCTTCCCGGCTGTGTGT